TTACCTTTACTTGATTATTTTTTTAAGCAAAGAACATAATTTTTCCTTTGGCGAAGCACTGGAACAGGTTGCCCAAGGAGGCTGTGGATGCCCCATCCCTGCAGGCATTCAAGGCCAGGCTGGATGTGGCTCTGGGCAGCCTGGGCTGCTGGTTGGTGACCTGCACACAGCAGGGGGTTGGAACTGGATGAGCGCTGTGGGCCTTTGCAACCCATTCTATGATTCCGTGACTCTATGAAAAGTCACCTGTCCTGTTTGTCCTGGTAACCTCATCAATCACCCTTGTCTTCTCAAGCCATACTGGCATTTTTCTGTCTGAGTCCACAAAAGAAAGAGGTTTTCTAATTCACTGCTACACATCAGACATATGGCATGTAAATTGGACAAAACAAGTAAAGGGAGCAAAAATATTTGCTGTGTTTATACCATAAGTTGCAGAGCACCTCCCATGGCTCTTAGCAGATGAGGAAATTCAAAGGAGGAAGGTGATGGGCAATGGGTATCTATGGAGCACAGGTCGTCAGGAGAATTTTCATCAAGGTTGGTTCAATTAGAGGAGACTAACAGCTCCTACCATGGTGTGATAGCTATTTAGTCTCACTCTTGTAGTTTTCACTTGGTTTTGATAAAAGTAAAGTTTGTGCCTTAAAACTGCCCTATGTAACCCAATAAGTGGCGTCCAACATGAAAAATAATCATTCTAATTTCTTTTTCTGTGCCTTCTACTATTCATGCACACATGTATTTCTCAAAGTGCATGGTATGCAGCCATAGGACAGCTCTCAGATGAGTACACATATGGGTACCCATAGCTTTACCTCTTACCATAATAAAAGCAGTTTGATTTTCAGGTTCTCACTGTTTATATTCTCACCTGTTACTGACACTGAGAGGTCATGAAAAAGGACATCACTAAAAGCAGATCAGATCGTAGCACACGCTTGAATTTGCATTTGTCCCATTTGCAAAGCTGAACCATTAATTTAATGCGAGTGGATTGTTTCTTACAGAAGTGACCCGACCAAGAGTGGCTCAGGAAGGATATTGTGCGTGATAGGAATTGAGCCCTGAGAAGGATGTCAGTTGTAATAACACTGTTCTGTATTGAAGTGCTCGTAAAAGACCTCCTTTCTTCACACGCTATGCAACACCAGCACAAAGCATTGCTCATTTGTCACACTATCTCAAAATGACAAATGAGGATCCTCAGTTCAAGGTCTGGAGACCTTGGCTCGCATCCACAGCACTTACCAAACCAAGTACATCGCAGTGAAAGGTATCTTTGCAGAACGCAGCTTTCAAACTCCTATTCTCTGTGTGTTTCTAGAGAGGAGATAAATAGGCATTTGGTGTTTTGTTTTTTCTTTTTTGATACACATTCTTTGCCCATGTTTTCTCCATGAATAAATATTTGCTGAATTCCAGAGTGTGGAGTATTCTTACAAATGCCCAGAATACCTCTTAGAGTCATTTGGAAGTCCTTGCCAAATGATAAGAAAGTGATAAGAAAACAAGCAGAACACCCACCCGAGGTACAGATACTTTGGGTGTTTTATCAGGATTGTGACACCATCCCAGTTCTGTTATACAAGAAAATCTCTGCTCACAAAATCTCACGTCTAGGACACCTTCCAGGTCTCAACTTTGATACACCTCCCATGTTTTCATGTGAGTAACCTTTATCAGCAGTTCCTTCTCCAAGCACTGGCAAATTTTGGCTGCTAAGCCCTGAGGTTTCTTTCCTGAATGGATGTTTCCCTAGTAGACCCTATCAGCCAGGAGGCTTCTCTAAACAATCCATTTTATTCCCTCATTTTATCAATTATATGGGGTCTGTAAACACGTTCTACTTCTTTTCTGTCTTTGTCATTCACACACTGGGATCCACCTGTACTATTCATATATACACCCTCCATACAGTCAGTTTAATCCACTGAGAGCCAACCAAAAGCAGGCAGGGAAGTGAAAAATGCAATTAACTTCGTCCCACATAGACTCCTCAAACAGGTCAGATGACTCATGCTCATCTAATGCCTGTCTCACCAGTGTCTGTAATGGTCTTCCTAAGGCCCTCCTTTATATCCACCCTATGATCACCTGAGCACACCAGATGCATCCTGCCTAATATTCACAGGTTGGGCTACACTTACAGCAGGAAAATGCCTCAGGAGAATATTGCCAAGAATAATTCATAGAATCACAGAATCACTGAGGTTGGAAAAGACCTTTAAGGCCATCCAATCCATTCCCATCCCAACCCACCACGCCCACTGATCATGTCCCCAACTACCACATCTCCACTGTTTCGGAATACCTTCAGGGACAGTGATCCCAACACTCCCTGGGCAGCCTCTGCCAGTGCTTTAACAGTCTTTGGAGAATGAATTGTTCCTAACATTCAACACTTCTGTTTTTTTCAAAAACAATTTGGTAGGTGACTCATGGGTAAGAGAAAAGCATTCAAGCTCATGCATATTCCAAAATCTTCTGTCCATTTGGAGTACCAACGTGTCTGTTGAGAAGACAAAGCCTTAAGGACTACTGCTTCTTATGGTAATTTACTTAAGTGTCCCCTTTGTCCATGTATCTGCTGGTGTCCTTCACTTTTGCACTGCTGGATGCTATAAGACATCTTAGTCTGTGTGAACCGAGTTGTGCCTTTAAGCATAACTGCCATGAAGTCAACCGCTGCAGTTTAACATAATTCCTCCAAGAGGAAAACAACAACAATGAGAAAGGTGAAACTTTTGGAATTGCTGATAAATCTTATTGGAAAATCCCTTTGCATTCTTGAAAGGGTTTTTCTTTTTAAAATCTAAGCTAGTTTCTCTGTCAATTTAGACGAAAACTATTAATGAGAGACATCACAGAACTATGCGGCTTTCCAATCTAACAACAACCCCTTCCCACCCTGGTTGAAACAACAAATAAAGTATCTGATTGAAAATGCCCTTTTTCCTTCTCTGGTTTTACGAACAAAGCAGCTAAGGAGAAACTGCTTCCTTATTTCAGAACTGCTGTCGAGTTTATTATCTTTTAGCCAATGAAAACAAATAAAAGAAGAGTATTAGTATATCCAGAGTGTTCTTAATGGGATGCAGTTTCCTTATGTTATGCAGCTGACTGGTCATGCAGACAAGAAGCAGCAATCAGGAGCAATTATCTTCTTTCTGCAAGTAAAACTCTATTTCCTTTATCATCTTACTTGTTAAGAGAAAAACATCGGACCATGGAATCACCAAAGTTGGAAAAGACCTCATCCAGTCCAACCACCCACCTACCACTAATATTTCCCCACTAACCCACATCCCTCAGTACAACATCTAAATGTTTCTGGAACACCTCCTGGGATGGTGAGCACCACCTCCCCGTGCAGCCCATTCCAGCACCTGACTGCTCTTTTGGAGGAGAAATTGTTCCTGACATCCAACCTGATACAACATCGATCTGTCCTATAGGCTTTGGTGCTTGATTTTAAAGATTTAGGTTTCTACAGGTACGTTCTGAACGGATGAATGATTAAAGCACGGGCTTTGGTTCTAGTTTAGTTTTCAGCACCTCCTGCAATCCTGAATTTGGTGAATGTGACACAATTCAAGGCAGTTTCCTCGATAGCGAACGCACCCTGAGGCAGGACTGACTGATATACCAGCAAAACGTGTGTCTGCATTTTGTGTGGCTGTATCTCGAATCACGGAGGCACTCTGAAGGAACATTACCCTCCTTTACAAAACTGGCAGCGGCATTCTAAGGAAAAGTTTTAAAAACTGCAATGTGGGACCTTTGTACTTCAACGGAGCTCCCAGTTACCAACAGAAAACTGAGCTTCTTTGAAGTATCTCAGGCTCAGCAGTGGAACCTTTGGAGCCCCAAACCACTTATCACTTCTGTTAAATCTTGGCTTACACACGTGTCATTTTCCCAAGCTCTTCGACTTTCCTCTGATTTTTAAAGTGACCTTTTCCTGTCGTTCCAAATTACCCTGTTCTACGCATAAACAACAAAAACAAAAAGCAATCTGCCTCCAAAAAAGTCAAGAACTGAAAACAACAGGCACAAGCTTTCATCTTTGAACTCCCTGGGAACAAACCACGCAGCGGCTGTACAGATTTGCTCACAGGTCTGTCATCACATCTCAGACTGCTCCTAGATTTGACAGTAAATAGGGACAGATATGCACAAAACCAACTCCAGCAGCTTCATCAACTCCAGTGTGAGGTCTATGCACAGTGGCCTGCAGATGGACAAGAAACTTCATGTGCACATGTCCACCTTGCACAAAATTCCTTAAAAACACTTAACTGTCAATGATTCCCCAGGTTTTGATCAGGATGATGCAATTCATTTATAGGATGAGAGATGATGGCCTCAAGTTCCTTCAGGAGAGGCTCAGGTTGGGTATTAGGAACAATTTCTTCTCCCCAAGAGTGGGAGGCAGTGGAACAGGCTGCCCAGGGAGGTGGTGGGGTCACCATCCCTGGAGGTGTGTATGGAGATGTGGAGGACATGGTCAGTGGGCATGGTGGGGGAGGGCTGGGGTTGGGTGACCTTAGTGGTCTTTTCCAGTGATTCTATGATCCTATGATTTCACACTAAGCTAAGAGGGGTAATGAGACCCTTGCACATTTCACTCACAGCACTGGGTAGGTTTAAGTAGAACATGGTGGACCTGCTTTGATTGATGCAGGCAGACAGTTGTAACTCACATTTCCAACCAGCCCCAGACTGGTTGGTTTCAACACCCACAGCTGCTCAGATGTGAGACCCCCAGGCTCAAGATGAGACCCTCTGCCCTGCATCTCCAGCTGCACTGTGGTTCTGCTCAGAGGAGAGGGAAGCTCAATTTCTTGTTATTATTCCACTGAGAGGTGGAGGCCCATGAAGCTGTTATAATCTATTCTCTCAGATTAATTTCCCTTGGCAAGTTGATTATTAAAAAAAAAGTGAAGAGACAATATGAGATGATGCTATTTTCTTTTTTTTTTAAAGGTTTTATTTGTAGGAGACATTCTGTACAAAACAAAGGTAACTGTACATTTTGCACAAGGGGCAATATTCAATGACACTTTACCAAAATAGCACTTCTGCTCAGATTTACAATAGCTGATGTCTGTTGTAAGCTAAGGCGTCATGGAGGGTGAGAGGGTGTATTTTTCATAGCACAGAAGGGAAGAGAATGATTTTAAGATATACATAGAGGCCCAGTGCCAGTGTCTTGTACTGCACTATTCGCAAACAGTTGCTTTGTTCACCTCAGGAAGTCACGTTCATCGGGCAATGAAAATGAAATCGGGAAACAATGAGAAGGAAAACATAATCAACAAACTAGACGTAGGCTCCTACAACAGGATATGCTTCTGCACAGGTCTGTGCAAAGGTTTTTGCGTCGCTGCATAACATTTTGTATTGGTTTGTCTGATTATTCGATTCCAAAAGATATGTGATGCCTGAAGGCAAATTGCTTCATGTGTTTTATCATCAAATTGAAATGTGTGTTTTCTTGATGCAGAAATAGACAGAGGTTCGGTTGGTTGGTTCTCTGCTGAAGAGGTAGATCTAAGTGAGTATTTTCATTGTCTGTTCCCTCTTTATTGAAGGATGCCTCAGGAAACCTCAAGAGCAAGACTGGTGGCAGCAGTTTAGCAATGCAGTGCTCCAGCTTGGTGGGATTGCCCTGCAGAGGCAATGCTTTAGGAATATGGCCCAAGTGTTGTACAACACTTCTTGGCACAGGTGAATCTTGAGTTAGTTCAATTTTAAACAAATGGCAGACAATGGACTTTACATAAAAACGTGTGTAGAAATAATTACAGATAATGAGTAAGAAAGATCTGGCCCAATGGGATTCTGTTATAATAGAATTTAAGGTTCAATAAAACTATTCTTCATAATCAGTAAGAACGGAGCCTTAAAGGCTTTGCAGCCTGTTTTAAAAAGAGGATCAGAGTACAGAGCTCCCTCCCACCTTCATTAATCTTTCAAGATAAACCATAAAACATTATCAGTCTCCAAGCCTTATTCATTAATCTTCAACTCTTTCTTAAAACCTGAAAAATTATTACATCTTGAGGGATGGAGTTCATCTGAGGCAATCCCCTTGGGCTCCATCTATACTCAGTTTATAATCCTCCAGTCAGGAGCACATTTCTTCTTGTCCATAAGAAAAGATAAATCACACCCTACTCTGAAGGGAGCCCAGAGCAAGAGCTCCTCATCACACATCTGCATTGGAGACATCCATATTCCAGCCAGATGAAATCAGGGCGGTAACACAGCAGCTCCCTTCCTCCCAGAGGAACACTTCTAGAAAGGAGGTTTTTTGGTACACCTAGTTCCAAAAATCTTTCATTGTTTTTCATCTCTTCACTATTTTCTGTCCAAATGCATTTTGAGAAATCTTATTTTATGATCTTGCTGCCCTCTTGGACTGTTTGCTCCATTGAGCACATGGGGACTGTAGTTGATAGGAAAATTCAAGAAAAAAGGTGTTTAATACAAGCTGGTGGCCTGGCTGACTCCATGCTCCAAGCCGTGCCACACTGGGATCTTTGAATGTTCGGGATCCAGAAAATGGAGCTCTTAAAGGTCAGATGAGGTGTGCATCATAAAGGCAGCCTTGAGTCCACCTGCAGCTGGCTGTGCAAACATCCCCCTACGTACAGTGAAATGTAGGGAGTTGGCAAAGGTCACATGGGGAATCGGCACTGGACTCAGATCTGATGCTCTCCGTGATGCTGAAAGGGAGATATACATCTCACCAAGTTCACAGAAAGAAGTTTGCCTATCTGACCTAAAACAAATTACATTATATTGCATCACATAAAATGAAAACGACCGCAGCTCTGAGATGTTTTACCACGTGTAGACACTTTGATGTGTGCAGGAAGCAAAGCAGGGCCTGATGCTCATTCACAGACTATCTCATGTTTTCTGCTAGCATGCACAGGTTGGTTTCCAAATCTAGCTCACGTGCCAGTGCCCTGAAATTTGTATCTGCAGAGGCAGCTTGGTATCTTCCAGCTACATGGAGTAGAACATTGAATTTCTGGTGGAAATTGATTTTGAAAATAGCAAGTGGTTCATTTGGGCTCGGAGAGGTTTGCATAGTGAGCAGTAAGAGAATGCTATGATAAAATCAGAAATTAAAAGTCTGTTATGAAGCTCCCATGATAACTGCACTCTCAAAAGATAAAAATAATTCTAGAAACACCGTTTCTCTGCAAATTGTCCATTAGCAATTAATATTTTCCAAAGCATTTTTTCCAATCTTCAGAACAGTAACTCATTCCAATTTTGGTAAATTTTCGCCAAAATATGTCACTTAAAAAATTCATTTCAGAACACAAACTGCTGTTTTGGTACCTCATGGTACATCTCCACTGTACACCATTTTCTCACACGCACTTTATTTACTCATGAATAACAGTATATATCACAGACAGGTGCCCTTTACATTTCCAATCCAACAGCACTTATCGGCCACTTTGGTGTAAATAAAGCCTAGTAAGTAAACTCTAGCCCATATGGCTACCAGTAGGTTCAGTCTTAGATTTGGACTTAGTAATATATGGTAATGAAGTGAATATTTATTTCTTGGATGATGTTTCATCCTGGCACTGGAGTGTTGCAGGTGAAGAACGAGGCAGTACAGGAAGGCAAAACAGGGACAGAAATAGCAGCTCAGCTCCTTTCATCAGATTTTTGGGAACAATTGCAGAATACAGAGTTGATCCAGAAAGGGACCTCGAGGGGACACAGACAACTCCATTGCTTTATCCATAACCATCACTTGACATTGGAGACTCTCAGCCTACACATTGAAACTGTACATTAAAGGCATCAACAAAGAATTTATCTAAGTGTTGTTTGCATTATAAGCAAAATATCCAAAGCATGAGGCGAACAAGGTGACGCTCCATCAGCTTGCACACAGCCATGTCATTCTTTCTCACCATAAGCAGCACAGGACTCCTGTCCTATTTCCTGTATTGGTGGGAATAGGAATGTGCTAATTCTGTCATTTCCTTTTTTTTCTTTGCAAATAAAGTGCAGGTCGGGTCAGTCACAAGATTGGTTCTGTGCCATTCCAGTCAATAACAGCTCCTTGCCACCTAGAAATAAAAGCAACCATTTTGCATCCGTGAGTTTATCGGGTTGTTGGAAAGGTCAGCTCACTATTCTCAACCACCCAACCACTCCTAGAGAGTGTAGGATGGACTCACTTGGGGTAACTTATCACATCTTCTCCAATGAAAAGGAAGCAAAATGAAGTATTTGCGCTCCTAATTTTAGGGTCCCACATTTGGAGATAATTTTCCTTATGCTTCACACAGTCTCCTCCAGGCAATAGAGTTCTCAGCAGCAGCTGATTCAGAACAAAAGCATTGGCTCTGCAAAGACTATGGGCAGTCTCCAAGATGGATAAGAGAATTACCTGTATGTAACCCAAATGAGACCAAATAACTTCATTTAGCAGCTATCCTTGCTCTTGTCCCTGGCTCCTTTGAAATATTCACTGGCTCACCTTAAAGGTAATCTTTTGCTTTTTCTATGGGGAGGCTTTGTTTTTTCTCTCTCTTACCCATTCTTCAGAATAACATTAAAGATATATACTGGAAAAGCAAAATATGTATATGCACAAAATTTTCCATCTTCTGAATCTCTGGCTGTGTATTGGCCACTACTGCTCAGCTGCCCACTGCAGGAACACCAAACCTGAACTTGTTGCCAGTTGGCTCCCCAGTGACCTCACCAGGCTGAAATGGGTCAACTCTCCCTACCACCAGAGTCATTCATTAGGTGCATGGCATCCTTGTCCATGGCATTTTTCATATTTGCAAATTCATGGTCCAGATCTTCTAAAAATGGAAACTACTGTCAAATACATAGATGTGGTGGGGACAATGTTGACTTGCCAGACTGCAAGCCACATTCTGTCTGTCATGGAGGAAAGGATATGTCAGCACAAATATAACAGCTCAGTCTTTTAGCTGAGCAAGACAGTTACGTGTACAACAAATCCAAAATCTAAATCCCTGCAGTATGCAGTGCAGGGTCTCAAGGGAAGTGACCACCTGCGGGACTTTTTTCAACCATCCCCAATAAAAGCACAAATAAACAAGTGTGGAAAATTGGGGCTGTGAATTTGTTTCCTTCCTTTTTTGATTTTGCCAAGAAAATCAAAAGTAAAATATTGCAGGAGGGGTGTCCTCCTCCCAGGGTTTAATAGGAATACACAGGAGTGATGCCACATGCATTAAGCTAATGGCAGAATGTGCCCTTGCTGGGAATAGCTGACCTAGTCTAGCATTTGTCAGGGCAGAGGGATGCTTCTTCCAGAGGTTCAATTTTCCCCAGAAGAAAAAACCAAACACAAGTGGGAGGTACAGCTGCCACCCTCAGATCCTATTGGATTGTTCTGGGATCACCATCAGCTCTTCCTTTATCTCTACATATAAATTCGATCTCTCTGAGGTCATTACAGCGTCAAGAGGGATCTACAGAGGCCACGACGCAAATTTAATCTGCTCTGAGGTTACTCCGTGAAAATATTAATGCTCTGACACCACTTTAAAGTTTCTGGCTTAAAATATGGCTAATCACTATGTGGTGCAGAACTCGCCTTTTGTGAAACAGGCTTTCAATAAAGAGCTTAACCAGCGTATTCTGAAGCAGGACTCTTGTAGATTTCCCCACAAGTCTTATCTCCTCTATTTATTTTCCACCTATTTTTCTTGAGCTGTCTGTAGAATGAAAAGCAATTTGCCAATTTGCTCATGCAGAGACAGCTTTGAAACTTTCTTACATATTGGATCTGCACAAGAAAAGGCACCAGATAGTGAGGAACCTCTTTCACAGGTGCTGAACTGGTCATTTCTTAATGAAAAAAACATGATCCAAAAAATTCAGAGCTCTCGTTTCTCCAATTGACTCACCACAGTGTAACCTAAATAGAACTCATATTGAATTATAATTTATCAGATTAGCAATATGAAAACAACACTGGTCTCATCTGGTTTGACTACGGCCTCATTTGAGGGTCATGGAAGTCAAATGGAACAGTTCCACTGAACCTTGGAAGAACTGGTTCAAGCCCTGAGCAATGCTCCCTCTGGAATAACTTTCAGAAAATATCTCTTGCATTGATCATCTGGCACCAATAATTTAGGATTAAGTGCCTGCCCTTTCTTCTCTTCTTACCTATCATATTTCTACCAAATGTCTCACTTTGAAGGAACACAGATCAGGGATGTGCCAGAACCACAAAGAAACCTGAGTGTGGTGGGCTAACAAAATCTAAAACTAGATTCAGATTATAATATCAGATCAAAGTTTTCTTCTCCTTGGGCAGAGCTAACAGATGTTACCTGGAGGTGTTCAAGGCCAGGTTGGATGGGGCCCTGGGCAGCTTGGGCTGCTGTGAAATGTGGAGGTTGGTGGCCCTGCATTGGTGGGGGGTTGGAGCTTCATCATCCTTGAGGTCCCTTCCAACCCAAGCCATTCTGTTATTCTATGATTCTATTACCAGCAGCCCAGAGAGATGCTAAGAATGACGACAGTAAAATAAGAATATTCTTCAGGGGAGAATGGAATCAGACATCTGCATGGCATCTCCCCAAAACCCCACCCAGGGTTGCCCATTCCAAATGCCTGTCGATCCAAACCTGACTACTTCCATGGATGTCTTAGGCTGAAAACCCCAATAGAAATTGCACAACAGTGACTCTTCAGCTGGGAGTCTGCAGGTTAAATTGATCCCAGCTGAGGACTATCTGTCCTAGTCATGCAAAGGGTTACCTGCTTTAAACTCATGCCCTCCTTCTCTGACATTTTGCAAAATAGGGAATAAAAGCATAAGCCTCCTCCTGCAGAAGCAAAACAACTCCTCTGATAATAATAATAATAATAATAATGAAAAAACTAAAAATGGAGACTATCTGTTACAGATCTTTCTACTGGGAGATGGCAAGAGAACAAACAGCAGACAGATGGCCAGCATAGGACTCCACACCCTGCAGGATGCTGATGTTCAGGTATGGGGCAACCCACTGGTAAGACTTTCCATTGACTGAAACAGCAGTAAGTCGTGCAAAAGAAAAGAAAAACCCCTAATCAAAACTTGGAAACAATGGTTGATATCAGTTCTATTCAGTTACACTATTAATTGTCCACACTGAGAAACTACTCTACCTTTTTTGATGATAAAGGTCTGATAATGAGCTTTATTGCTGTAAATGCTAGGTCAAAAGGAGTAGTGGCCCTGTTTATTTGTTTGCTTGCTTGTTTGTTTGGCTTGCTTTAATAACAATTATTTCATTGGTGTTTTCCACAGTTGTATGATAGTAAACATTTATTTTTGTATCTCTCAATTTGTTAAACACTCGTTCGTTTGTTTTGTTTTGACTTTTCTCCATATACCGTTTCAGAGCTGGAGAAAATTTCTTCAAGCAAAAAGGAATAACATGGCATGAAGGACCTTTAGCAGCAAGGCCATGCTTGAATAAATATGTTCAAAGCAATTGGAGAACACAGAAAACAAGGAGAGAGACTGATCAGGGTAAATCAGACCGTCCTAGAAATGGTACAAACAAAATTAATTGACACTGGAATTTGGTGGTAATTTACTTCCACAGTAGATTAAAGTAAGGAATTTAGAATAAACAAACATCATAGTTACCAAAGCTTTGTGTAACTTTGATGCAAGGCCAGGAATTGAAGACATTTTAAGAGCAACTTTAAATAGTTGCATGCAGTATTCACCCCACACTGTGGGTTTCTGAGGCTAAGGATTATCTATCTTTGTTTGCAGTCATGCTTATGTTTCCCTTGAATGGTGGAATCCATACAACCTATATGTGCAGGGAGTCTGAACCGATGTTGCTGCCATGCTAAAGGATGCCTCATTTGTTTTCTGTAAATCCATAAAGCCAGCCCTGCAGGAACACGCTGGTTGGCAGCCACTGTCCTTATTTGTGGCAGAGAAAGGAGGGAAATGACAAGGGAAATCTGAAGCTGCTAGGCTGTAATGGGCTTTGACAATGAGGCTTTTAATTCTCGCTCCAGAGATACTCAGATAGCAGCTTTCAAAGTCCTGTTGAAGGAGTGATATAAAGCTGATACTTTCAGCCAGGGTAAGTTCCTGATTTTGCTTCTTCCATAACTCGGTAAACTGAAAATGTTCTCGTTAAATTCAGCACAATTTGGATAAATTATTTAAAAGTCCATCCTTTAATATCATATTTGCCTGGAGAAGTCAATGCTTCCATGGACAGTTTGAGAGAACTAAGACCACTGAGGTCTCAGGTCTTTGGGTATCAAAGGTGGCACCCAAGTGTTTCTGTGCTTTGATATTTTTCAGAAAAGACTGATGAAGATGGAAGAGAACTTCATCTTTTCTCATTATACCTCTACAATAGGAACCAATGAGTTTTGAGAATCCACATTTTGATCTTTTGAAATCAAGTTGAGCTCTCGAATTATGGCTCAGTCAGCTTCTGGTGACATAATGACAGTTCCTCTACGAGTGAAACGAATGCCTTGGACAATTTGATGTACAATGAAGAGTGATATTTTCTAACTCTTAACCAGTAATTTTGCAAGAGTAACTGCCACAATATTAACTTTATAGCCACACTCAAGCTTTACATGCATTATTTACATAACTCTGTAAAAATATTTGCATGTTAAATGCCATTTTCACTTACTTTGTCCTGATGCAGTGCTCAAGTGGAGGAGTAAGATCATTATCTTCAGTGCACATCTGAGTCGTGTCTAAAAACACATAGCAGACATAATTAGAGGCTGAGGTATATATCTATTAATTACTACACTGCAGTGGTTTCTAGAAACCCTACCCATGGACGTGACAGCATAGACAAGAATCCCTACTGCTCACACTGTAAACCTCAAAGCATTTCAACTCTTGGTCTGTTGGCTATTCGTGTGGTGGCTGCTCAAAGGCTGAAAGGAGGTGACTACATGTAAGCTTGCTGTTGGAAACGATCCCTAAGTTTGGGCCCAATGTTAGCTGATCTAGGCCAGAATCTTGCCCAGAATTGTACTGACTACTTAGCAGTAAGGATAACTGTGGGACAGTGTTTGTACCATGACCAAACCAGGCTACCTGATCAATATAGAGATGGTTCCAAGGAAAACTAGAAGGCCAAGGTGAAAGGACATGCTGGAGGGCTATTGTGAGGATTCTATTTTGCAGTCAATTAATTGGTTATTAAGAAAGCAGTTTAATCACACACTGAGGACAGTAACAGTCCTACACATGAATAACAAACCCCAAATCCATCACAAAGTAAATTAAGATTCCTTCACCCCTGAAAGGAAAACTGTCCCTTTAGGGTGGAAAGAGTGCACGGATGGGGGAAGACAGTGTCGTGTGAGATGGAAGAGAGCTACCACGGTCTCTGAGCATTCCTTTGGGATGGAGAGGCAATTGCATTGTTCCGGGGAAAACAGAGAGGTCAGTGTCTCAGAGCCTCGATCTGTCAACAGTGAAAGTAGTTGCTGAATTTCCCAGGGAGAAAACATCCTGCAGCCAGCTTGGATGTCAGTCTGCTCAGCTGTTTCCTGTTTTGGAGTAAAACATCTTAAACTGCTGTACACTGGAGCTGGTTTTTGGCAGTTTTCTTTCAGCCCACAGGAATGTTGTGAGCAACTGATGGTACCAAGCCAGGGTGCAGGATATGGAGCTGACGCAGTGAGACTGATGGAGACAGGATGGGAGGCAATGCTCCTATATTCACTACTGACCGTCTCAGCTATATCTGACTTCCTCCTGTCAGTACAAATACCTGCAGAATGCTCTGAGTGACTGCAGGGGCAGAGTAACAGAAAACAGTCAAAATTTAAAATTACATAAAGTAGTGGCAGTTTTATCCTGGAGCCTCAGAAACCGAATGGATGCACTGGAATCTTCCAAGATTCAATGGGCCTCTCTCATCCTAATATTGAAGAGTTTGTAAGAGTTTGTTACAGGTCTCCAATAGCACACCACAGAATCACAGCATCACAGAATGCCTTGGGTTGGAAGGGACCTCAAGGATCACGAAGCTCCAACCTCCCACCAATGCAGGGCCACCAACCTCCACATTTCACAGCAGCCCAGGCTGCCCAGGGCCCCA